CTGATGTACAATAGTCCAGAGAATAGTGCACTTTTAGATAATAAATAGGTGGATCTCACCAAGTTGGATATCCAGATGGATTGTAACCTTAGTAGCAACTCGAAAAAATGAAGACTCTGTGAAGAATGGAAGAGTGTCTATTGGAGGGTTTTTAAACCTGCTGAATTCCTGCTGTGCGTTGAAAAGAGGACGGAAGAGTGTCTATTGGAGGGTTTTTTAAACCTGCTGAATTCCTGCTGTGCGTTGAAAAGAGCACACCCTGAACACGCCCGATCTCGTCTGATCTCGGAAGCTTAGCAGGGTCGGGCCTGGTTAGTACTTGGATGGGAGACCGCCTGGGAATACCAGGTGTAAGCCCATGTACTGTGACGACACTTTGAGGGAGACATACGAGGACCACATCTGACACCTTCATTGAGTCCTCTTTTCAACGCACAGCAGGAATTCAGCAGGTTTAAAAAACCCTCCAATAGACACTCTTCCGTCCTCTTTTCAACGCACAGCAGGAATTCAGCAGGTTTAAAAACCCTCCAATAGACACTCTTCCATTCTTCACAGAGTCTTCATTTTTTCGAGTTGCTACTAAGGTTACAATCCATCTGGATATCCAACTTGGTGAGATCCACCTATTTATTATCTAAAAGTGCACTATTCTCTGGACTATTGTACATCAGGACATTTATTATCTGTATACTTTTTTATCTTTTATTTTTTATATTTTTTCAATTTTTCATCATTTTTTTCATTTTTTCATTTTTTTCAGTTTTTCTTCCTTTTTTCTCTTTTTTCTTTTTTCTTTTTTCTATGTACATAGAACACCACAGATTCTACTATTATCCATATGGATAGGTTCTCCTTAGTTTTGCAAACAGAAATACTTACAACTGTGTTTATACATTAATTATTTATCTATATAACACCTATGGAGGTTATTTGTGTAAATAGCGATTGACTATATGATGTAATATATTCTTTTGATCAAATCATAATCTCACATATTAAGTTATATAACTAGACATTATAGAATTGAACATGTTTTATTATATCTTGTATTTATAATAGTTCCTAGAAATGTTGCAGTTAAACTTGAGGACGGATGGACATCGGCAAATTACTTTCCGGAAAGCAGAGCGGTAGGCAGCACTGAGGGAGTTATGGCACTGGAAAGAGGTTAAGAAAAGTTATTTATTTTATTATTGGAATATCTGCTGTTTCCCATTAACTTATTATTGGAAAAATTTTCCTTTTGGTTAGTTTTGAAAACTTTCGGTTTTCCGAAATTAATTTAAATATTGATTCGGTTCATTTGAATTTCGATACAAATTTTTGTTTATTTAACTAATTTCAGATGGCCATTAATCTCTATGGAAATGAATGAATCCAATAGGGCACAGTCACAACAAAGCCATAAAGGATGAAATTCAACCCATCAAAACAGCAGTAGATGTTCAACAAGGGAACATATGGCACAGAACAAAATATATTCAGTGGCCATTCATTTGGCTATTTGTTATTTTTTTTTTACTGATATTTTTTCTGAAAACAAATGCATATGTATAGTCCTAAGAAAATGTATCTATAGGTTTAAGGTTTAGAAAATGGCAGTACGGCTCATGGTTTGGGAACATGGGGTTAAGTGGGCATAGTCAAATTCTGGAGGTAACGTCTAGCGCCCTACCATCTTGAAATTTCAGTAGCCAAATTGACTGATTATTAAGGGCTAAATGTTTTAAAATTTTATCTTCACTTCTCAACATTTCACTGTTTAGTAAATAACTCTAAATGTAACAATATAGCCAAAACCTTTAGTTCTCAAAAGGTTAAAACAAACACAACAAACAGGTAATTCTCCACCTATTAAATAGTTAAAATTCTCTTGGTGTTTACACAGCCTATAGTTTGGCAGGCATCATAATAGGTGCTGTTCTAGAGAGCTGAATATTGTTAAATATCCATCCCAACAGCCATAAAGCTGTACATTTGCCCTTCATCCAATAACAAAATGTTAATTTTTATTTGGAAAAAAAGTATGTAGAAGAAGTACGGAAAAGCTTGGATTTGTGTTTTTAAACTTGTTTGAAGTTAAACACACATGGGTTTGTACAGTTGTTATGCACCTTGCTTTGTGATTTTTAATCTCTGTGCTTCAATTAAGCCTTGATTGATTGATTTTTAAATCAGAGGAGGCATTCTAAAGATTTTCAAACACATGAAGGCAACTTTAGAATTTAGTGCTGATTATAATGTACAAACACTTAACTGTATTAGAGATTATCATGGGTTCACAATACAAAAGGAATTGAAAAAAAATAGGTGCATACCCCAAAGTATTTTCCTTTCTTGAGGAAGGCTACAGTCTTTGAGAAATATTCCCCTGTCTTTTTATTCCGAGACACCTTGGTAACCACGGCTGTGCCTGCGAGAATCAGGTAGAAGTTCTGAGCAACGTGACCTTGTCTGATGATAACTCTTCCTGGGCCAAAACTAGAAAACGATTTTGAAGAAATGGTTACGATGCAAAGCACATACTGCAAAGACCATTCAAGGCTTTTAATAGCTGTGTGTTTCATAAATATTAAAATCAAGCAAGCAAGTTAAAATTATCACGCTCCATTTTAACAACTGTCTGGCGCCGGTACAATAAACAAGATTAGGAAAAAAAAAAAAAATATGAAAAAGTATGAAAAAGAAAAGTTCTCTGAATATCTGTGGAAATAATATATTTTATTTTTCATTTATTTAACGTTGTGCATGAATAGAACCATGTTGGGTTACATTCAAATTATTATTGCATTCAGATTTTTTACATGTTTCATTCCAGTTTCTCACAATGTTGCAGCTCAAATAATTTTGCTACTATTTTTATAACGTAGCCAAAATCCACAGCAAGTATTTAGTTATTTACTTATTTATTTTATTTAAAAAACAATAATTATCCTTGAGAACGAAGAAAGAAACCAACACAAGCATGAATAGACAAACCATAAGATTAGACAGGAACAGATTAGCTTAATGGTATACTCAAGGCAACAGTTTCATCTCTTTAAATCAGTTATTCTGCCTGAGGTCCCATGGCTCCATCCCTCCACTTGGTGAATAACTGTTTTCAAATGGTTTAACACTGAATGAGGGTCCCCAGCCGCTCACAACTCAGTCCTTACTGGAGCCACGGCTAAGACAGAGATTACACAATTCCTTAGCCATTCCAATTCATACCAGCTATCGTGGCTGTGATTGGTTGGGAGTGGTCAGCTGAAACTCTCAGCCAATCACTGCTGCCCTTCGTTGCTTGGGCTACTGTGTTTTTATAAGCCTGAGTAGCTCAGAAGGGTTGAGGTGTTGGCTGCTGGGCACCGTCTTTTAGCGTTCAATGGTCCAAAAACTGTTTTAACACTGAATGGCACCAGGGTACTCCAGGCACTATAACCACTTCAATGTAATACCTAGAGTGTCCATGTTATGCTGGCTGCATAGAAATGAAAAGTAAGTGATAGAATGACTGCTCATGGGAGGCAATGGAAAACATAAAACGACAACAAAATAGACTCAACTTAGAAGGGAAGGCAAAGTGGAGGATTTAAAGATGTTAGTTAAGATAATTTTAAATAAGCACATTTTAGGAATTTAACAGACACTTCTGATGGAGGTGGATGATGAACAATACAAATAAATGTGTTCCAGGAGTAGATTGCTAAAAGGCAGAATGAGCAAAAATGAGGAGAAGGGATATACACGATGTGTTTTTTATATTCTTTATTTTGGACAGTCATTCAAAAACACATTTTGTGAAATTTATACCATTAACCAGTATAAATTATTGAATCATTTGTCACTATGTACTCATTTGTGTCTCAGGCTAGGTGTAACCTCTCTCAGGAGGTACCACGAAAGATTGTCTTTTTTGGGTAACGTTACATAATCTAAAATGCCTCTACTACACTTATCCATTTCTGTGAAATGCATGATAAAAAAACAGGCATAAAAACTAAATTAAATATGAGACAATGAAAAATATAAAAACCCTGTAGAGCCCAAACTCTCCGTTCCTAGGTAGACGGTAGTGACTGCCTCGATTGATTATCTAGATAATCTAGAAATAAAAGATTTATCACTACAAAGGAGTATCTGATATTATTTGGACATTTCCTATAACTTCTATCTAAGCTTACTTTATTTTATCCCCTTTCTTTCTTACTCTTTTCTTTTCAGTTGTTTGACAATACCATAATTTCAAGTGTGATAATTTATTATAACTCTTAGTCTTCTTACAGTAAATTGTCTATTAATGGGTAGCTGCAGTTCAAGTCATGGGGATCAAGGCTTTCAATTAAGGCAGTGTCAGATCAGCATTCATGTGAACTAAACTTGGGGAAGTGTTTGTTTATGCTCAGAGTGTTCTGGAATCTTCTCTGTGTGTATGCTCACCATCAGTCACATTGATTTATATACATTTATAAATTATATCCATTTATTATGTTTTTGCAAGTGTGCATCTAATTGCTGTTTAAGCATCTCTAGAGACTCTGATATAAAAAAAAAAAAAAAACTTCTTCAGGCAGAGAATTCCACATCCTTATTGTTCTTACTGTAAAAAAAATATCTTTGCCTTAGGCTAAATCTCCTTTATTCCAGTCTAAATATGTGACCTCGTGTCCTATATATAGTCCTGTTTGTGAATAGATTTCCACACAATGGTTTGTATCGGCCCCATTCTGGTGTCAAGAAGGAATTTTTTCCTAGTTTGTTGAAAAATTTAAAGTGCTTGAAACTGGGTTTTTTGCCTTATTTTGGATCAGTAAAATACTCTGATGATGGCAAAAAATTGACATTCTTACATATGCTAGCTAGTTTGGCAAGCATATTTTAATTGTTAAAATAAATAAAACCACACTTTATGTTGGAGGTTTTGTCATATTTCACTTAATACTTCACATTAATGTTTAAAATGAAATGTAAATAATTTGTGGGAATCTCTATGCTAGATAATAGTAATTTTCACAATTAAATCCCATTTATAATCAGCCTTCAGATATTATTTTCAGAAATTGATGTGACTTGCTATCTGTTTGGTTATGTCCCATCACTGTTTCGGTAATTGTGTAGTTGTTATTAGCAGAAACAAACATTGTTCACTTTGAAGAAAGTTTTCAAGTTCAAAAGCCCATTCTGAAATGCCCTGCTAAGATAAGAAATATCCGTCTGTACACATTCTTTATCTATAAACCCAGCTATGAATCTAGGTCAGCTTCCTCGTGCAACAGAAAGTCGTTTTATTTGATCATGAGGAAAAGCTGGTTTGAACGTCTGTCAAACATTATCAGCCTTACTGACTCTGTGAACTCAATATCAGGGATTTTTAG